TTAGCATGTCAAGCTCCCATCCTGCACTGTCGCGGTTCGACTCCTGCTGAGGGTGTCGATAAGACTGATGTAAGGTCGAAAGTGCAGTCCACTCTGGATAAGAACAACTTTTCGGTAAACAATGCTATGTGAAATTCATTGGAAACGTCAACCCAACTCATATCATTGTCGGAAAATTCTTCTACCAGTCCTAAATCACGTTAAACGAAATTGTGTGAATACATCTCATATTACTGATTAACTAGTAGTCACGAAAACAATACTTAATTTGAAAAATAAAGTATAATAGTCATTTGCTATAACAGATATAGGTTTGCTTCATCGACAATTCCACCAAAAGAATATGATATGTCAAAAAAGGTCTGGCCTTCCTTGAAAATTCACATTTGTCCTATAACCCAACAAAGGCGCTCGTGGCAGTGTAGCCGAGTGATTAGCGTGTCAAACTCCCATCCTGCATTGTCGCGGTTCGACTACCGCTGAGGGTTTTGATAAGACCGATGTGAGGTTGAAACTGCAGTCCACCCTGGATGAGAACAACATTTGGGAAAGCAAGGCTATGTGAAATTTAATAGAAACGTCTGCTCAACTCATATCGTTGTAGGAAAATTTTTCTTCTACCAGTTCTTCATCCTTTTGAACGAAATTGGGTAAAAACATTTCATATTACTGATTTACTTTTAGTCACGAAACAATACTTAATTCAAAAAATATAATATAGTAGTTACATTTCTAATATCTATATATTAGAAAATAAATTAATAAATTGCAAAAATGCTGCTAATTTTTTAATTTAATTCTATTAATGTTGATACAATACATATAACTTTATCTTATCCACGAGTTACCAGCATATGAGAGGGGGCTTTTTAAATGCCTTTAAAGTCCAGAGGATGCTAGGCGTTTTTGATGTTCCGATTGAACCTAACAAAGCTATTCATGCGGTTGTTACCTCCGTATTACATAATGGAGCAATATTTTTTGGTTATCAGACATCAAAAGGAAAGGAATATAATGTGGAGGTTACTATCCAGGTTTTGTTCAATCATATTTTAAGTCTTTACCACAGTACGTAGATTACGATGAAAAGTTTCTATGTGGATTTCTTAAAATAGACAACTTGACCGAAGAATATCCTAGTCTTACGACCTATTTTGAAGGCGAAATAGTGTGCAAGAAGTTTCCTTTTGCCACTGGTAAATGGGATGCAACATTGGAGACAGATATTCTGCATTGGGTATATGATGCATACCTTTTTAAATTATAAAGAATAAAATTCCGGCAATAGAAAACTTCTCAAATATTTTAGATTCGGATTTTAATTATTCAAAATTAGAGAATTCTGACTATATATTTATGCGCTGGAAGGTATTTATAAATTATTTTATTTTTGCAGGAAAAATTTCTTGTTCCTGATCCGCACATAAAAGATATCAATGGAGCCTCTTTTGCTGGATTCTACTATATCTCTCTGAATAGGGTTGACGGGAAGATAACCGGATATTACTATCACCTGTATTCAGAGCGGTATTTCATTACTTAATGCCCATTTATTTATTCATTTAGTTATCAGTCGCTGAACCTATCCTATCGCCCTGAAAAAGCACAAACTATGTTTCAATTTCGTTGAATTACTTTGTACATCCATTTATCTCAGATCAAATCCTAGTTAAGCTTTTATATATAATAACTCAATTAAGCCCTATGATGACAAAT